GGGGTGGGCATCGGTGCCCCCCACGGTGCCCCCCGGGCTCCTACCTCTGCTTGGGGTCCTTCTTGAGCAGGCCGGCCAGCAGGGCCTTGGCCTCGGGGCCCAGGGTGCGGGGGAAGCGGATCTCCTCCATGAGGATGAGCTCGAAGAGCCGCTCGTGGTCCTGGTTGTAGAAGGGGAGGCGGCCGCACATCATCTCGTACATCACCACCCCCAGCCCCCACCAGTCCACCGCCCGCCCGTAGTCGTTGTCCTCCAGCACCTGGGGGGAGAGGGGGGGCACGGTCAGGCCAAAGGGGAGGGAGAAGAAGTCCTCCTAGAGCTGCCCAGCTCCTCCAACCCAAGGGATCCGCTCTGAGCTCCACCTCTGAGATCCACCCGGCTCCTGCGGCCCAAGGGATCCCCTCCTAGATCCTCCCAGCTCCTGCAGCCCAATGGAACCCCTCTGAGATACACCTCCTAGATCTACTCAGCTCCTGCAACCCGAGGGATCCCCTCCTAGATCCACCCAACTCCTGAAACCCAGGCAAACCACTCCTAGATCCACTTCCTAGCTCCACCCTATTCCTCCAGCCCAAGTGAAGCCCTCCAAAGTCCTCCCAGCTCCTGCAACCCAAGGGAACCCCTCCTAGATCCACCTCCTAGCTCCACCCAGCTCCTGCAGCCCAAGGGAACCCCTCCTAGATCCACCTCCTAGCTCCACCCAGCTCCTGCAGCCCAAGGGAACCCCTCCTAGATCCACCTCCTAGCTCCACCCAGCTCCTGCAGCCCAAGGGAACCCCTCCTAGATCCACCTCCTAGCTCCACCCAGCTCCTGCAGCCCAAGGGAACCCCTCCTAGATCCACCTCCTAGCTCCACCCAGCTCCTGCAGCCCAAGGGAACCCCTCCTAGATCCACCTCCTAGCTCCACCCAGCTCCTGCAGCCCAAGGGAACCCCTCCTAGATCCACCTCCTAGCTCCACCCAAACCTCTGCCACCCTGGACTCTGGGAATAACCTCCACAGACAAACCCCTCTGGCACAAGAGCTCGGAGGAGACCCCTGAGCTGGGGGAATGCCGCCGGTACCTCCGGAGCCAGGTACTCAGGGGTGCCACAGAAGGTCTTCATGGTGGCTCCATCCGTGATTCCCTCCTTGCAGAGCCCGAAATCAGTGATTTTGATGTGGCCATCTTTGTCCAGCATGAGGTTTTCCAGCTGGAAAATGAAAAGATGAAGGGAGGGAGGTGAGGGAAGGTTTGGAATTCTGAGAGATCTGAAGTTCTCCAGAGGGATTGGAGGCTCTCCAGAGGGTTTGAGATTCTTCAGAGGGATCTGAGGGTCTCCAGAGGGTTTGAGGTTCTCCAGAGGGCTCTGAAGATCTCCAGAG